TTCTTTGGAAGTATTAGTATATTATTGTTTTGTTTTTCCTCAAAAAAGTAGTACTTCCAAACTTTTGAACGTTAGTATATGTATATCAGTAGTTTAATTAGATCGATGTAGAATTTAGTGAAATGAGGGAGAAAAATACATAGAAAGAAGAACATGGTCCTTTGGGCGTATACGCTTTCGGTCAAGGTGAGTCCCGTGTCGGGTGGAATTACGAGATAGCAGAGCCCAGCGAGACACCCGTTAAGGGATACGGTCATATCCCCGTGCGGCAGGATGTGCGGCACGTAAGGATTTACGAGCAATAAAACAGCAATAACGAGAACTATATTGGAGTCGCGAGCGCGAGAGCGACCCAGGATATCGCATTGTGGCCGCGGGATCCTGCGCGCGGGTCCTACCCTTCACGAATTCCGCACGCTCCTCATCAGGGACAATGTGCTTTATGTTCCGTAAGCCGCGGAAAGGAACGCGCAGGTGTTTACGCATTTGTGTCCATTTTGCATAACGAACGACAGGATCAAAGCGGGATCACGCAATTGTTCTCGTATTTCTGCTTCCCTTTCGATTAAAGTTCTGACGAGAGTGATGTAAATTGCAAGTCAGTAAGTGGAGATGGGTAAATAAAATTGAAAAATCGTAAACTTCTATTAACGAAGGCTCACTTTGAGATTTGTAAATGAGTGAACATTTTAGATAATAAAATATAATTGAGAAGGACCTATTAAAGAAAATCCCCTTCCCTTCCAAAAATCAAGACATAATATGCTTTCCCGAATTGTAATGTATACGTCTGGTATGTGCTTATTTTTATCGGCAATTTCTGGGCGGTTACATTGAACGACGTTTAATTTGACTTTTAAAAAATGTATCGGAAAGCGCCGACGGCATTGGATCAAGGAATTCCGAGGCGTAGCGAGCTAACTTCGTTCAACGACAACTTGTATACGAGTTTATGGCAAGTCGTAAAATGGTCCTGAGACAGCGAGTCTCTTTCGCATTCTCAATAAAGGTGACTGCTAATACAATGGGTTTTGACCAGAAACCATCGCTGTGGGTGTAGTAGTGTCCCGTGCATCATTTTATAGCCGGATCGAGAGAAACATTGTCTCTTCGGAAAATATTCTTGGACCCGTGTTACGGCATCAAACAATGTAAGTGAGAATATTGCCAGCGCATCATGACTGGGTTAACATTTAAGCACAATTATTTCAAAAACATAAATTTGTATAAAAATGCCGAAATTTAAATTAACAATTTCTCAGTTCAACTTAAAGAAATGACTAAATTTATTACGGGAAGTTAACCGTCTTATAAGTATGTATGTATATTAAAAAGAAATAAGTTTTGAACCATTTCATTATGTAGCGTGCACGGAACCTTAGTTTTTACTGCAGAACAGTTTATCAGACAATTTCGTTAAAATAAAAATAACTTGATATCAGTAATACACACAATAAACTGATAGCTTGATAAATTTTGTTGATAGAGCGAGATAGCTGATAAATCGATAAATCTTGCCCACTTTCCCCGTCCGATAGTCATTTTTCAATAAAGACTATTTTTCAAAATCTACTTCTCTGAATACAAATTTAATTAGCAACGTATTAATATTGATCAAAAACACACGCGCGCGTAAAAATATGATATAAAAATCATAATAAATAATACTATGGAAAGAATTTTTTTAAACTGATATTGTGAGATAACGAGATAATTTTCTTGTTATTAATTGTGAATAGTGATAATTTTTAAGACATGACGAGTATAGCTTGAAGGTTGTTCGACTTAAATACGGAATTTGATAGATATTCAAATAACACATAAAATATTTCTTACATATTCCAAAGTCTGAGGAAGGGAAATTTATATCGTGCCAACTTTCCACGGATGCTCTTCGAATAATTTTCTCGCGCCAGCTTCACCGAGCTTTATCTCACGAGAGCGGAGTATATGGTGCATTCGCCGGTTAAAGGTCGCGGACCTCTAATCTTGAGAGGGTCGAAACGCAAGGTGGTGAGCACTTGGGCGAGGTCGTCCTATATTTAAGGGACCTCCCATAAAGGACAAAAGTTGCGCCGTATCGCAGTTGCCGCGCAGGCCGCCGCGCCGCGCCGGAACGGTTTAACGTCTCGGTCGTCCGGAGCCGGTAATGGCCCCGGTCGGAATAGTTTCAGAAAAATGGCCGCGGCGGCTGAACTTACAGTTAAATAAACGCCGGTGTGTCCGTGCGCCGGCACGGCCTGGATAAAACGATTTACTGGCGCCCCGCGAGCGGATAACGCGCTCGCTCTCGTGTTATCCGCGCTCCGCGAAATTGTTATGGCGAAACGAGTTTCCGCCCCGCCATGTCGTAGGTATCCGGGTTACCTGACCGTGGCAGACGCCGCGAGTCACTGCCCGATAAATTATGGCCCCTTACGAAATCCGAGATTAAGGCTTTACGATATTCGGCTTTTAATGTGGATATTATTTGACAGGTGCTCGATTTACGATTTTCGAAGAGACGTGTATCGGCTCGCGTTATCGTTCTCGCATTGCAATATCCCGCTCGCGTCCGGATCGGGTAAACTCGGGTAAGATGGCCATACAGGAAAGATGGCCAACTCGTGTTCCTTCGATGTTTCATGGCGAGCTAGATTGAAAAAACATAGGTTGGCCATCTTTCCTGTATGGCCATCTCACCCGAGTTTACCCTATCGTTTCTATTTTTTACACTACTCGTGATATTGTGACAGATATTGTGTAAGTTCAGCGTAAAAATAGAGTGTTCATACATGCTGGAAGGTATGCCGTATAATTCAGTAGTCACTCTGCATGCGCCTTATTTTCAATCTCAAATTTGCTATTGCGACAATTATTCCGACGTCGTCGCTGCGAACATGCTCGAATTCAAGGGACGCGTTACATCTTAATTACGTTCACGTCGTCGGATACGAATCCAGGAATTCGAGCCCGTGTCGGCGCGCCGCGCCGGGGAAAGCTCCGTAGGTGGAAGCCCGGGGAAGAATGTCCGCGGATTAAGTGGAACGAACGTGACTTAAATCCATTGTAACCCCTTGGAACGTCGGTATCGTTTGTAACCGTCACGGTTGTATCTACAACGTGAGAGAGAGAGGATGAGGGAAAGGGGAAGCGCGCGAGAGAGGGAAATGTGCAAGGGTGAAGATGAGGAAAGTGAGAAAACAGAAAAGAGAAACGGGAGAAAGGTGGAGAAAGAGGGAGAGCCGGAGAGGGGAAGAAAGAGGGGAAGGGGATTCTCTTAATCTCGCCTTTACGTGCGCTTGACAAACGAGGAATGCGGATGACACTGGCATTGTACTCTCCCTCGTATTATCCGTACGATCGCGCGGATCTCGCATTCTACTCGTCGGGGCGTCTTTTGCAGCACCTCTCATTTGCGTGTTGCCACGATGAAGATATCGACTTAACACCTAGATACACTTGAATTGCTCGGGAATAGAGGGTTTCTCGCGAGCGATTACGAACGTCTCGTTGTGGAAACGACATTCCACGAGGGCCTACCAATGGATATGGTTCTTGCAAACTTGATATCCACTTAGGCTTGTTGTTATCTTCTTCCACTAGGCAATTCGAGGAGAACCTTTTTCTCCAGTTTCTTGAACGATAGAATTTTCTTGCCGAGACACATAGTAAATTAAATATTCAAGTCCTAGGAAATAATACCTTTGGCAATGGCAAAATTATGCATGGCATATTGCACAGCAAGTTTCGATATTTCGCTAGAATTTCACAAAACAGATGTAACATTAAATAACAAAATATTTTCTACATTTAACGTGCACATACACATATCATGTAAAAACGATAGTAAATATCAATTGTAATTTTAATTTTAAAATATCAATGAAATGTATAGACATATTTGCAAATGAGCTGTTTCTTAAGTATTTCTGTTGCATATTCGCCGCGTACTCGTTCGCATTTTAACACTTCGTGACAACCTTCAATTTGAACAAAGTTAATGATAAATATTTACTACATAAACATCCTTAATGCTATTACGTCAGCGGCAAGAAAGACCGAGATATTACACAAAGTTGGAATTGTAAGTTACTTCGCATTGTTCAAGTTTTACTATGAGTTCTTGCCTCCTTGAGTTCAAGTAACAATACTATTTTATTAATTTGAAGCTTGTTTTAATAATTCGGTATATCTTGCATTTTAAAGGAATTATAAAGAGTTAGATAATTTTGCTAGATAATTTTGTGCAGCTAGACAATTTTGTATCCAGTTTATAAATTTTTAAAAAATTTAGTGTTACAATAAAATTATGGCTGCAATAAAAATATTTTATTATGTTTTTACATTATACTAGAAAATGCTCGTAGTATGACGTTTACGCTTAGAGCGTTGTCCCCACTCTAAAGCTGTAAATAGATAACCGGTCTTGAGTGCTATTGAAATGGACAGGTCAGTTAGTTCTCAGTTTCTTTCTTGATTGTCAGATGGATGCGCGCGACA